CAGGATCAGCCCCAGCCTGCAGTGTTAGTTTCCAGGACACAGCAGAGGATTTGAGGCATTGATACCCTCTTGAAACTACACTGACTCTTTCACTATGTTTTCTTTCAGGTCAGCCGTGAGTTTGCTGTAGCATTAGCTTTAGGGTCAGGCACTAAGTGTTTTGGACATTTGAAAACGTGTAGCGGTTGACATGTGCGACAGGATAAGGTCAAAGGTGGCGGCCATGTTTATGCTGGCTTCTGCTCTGCTGTCAGTGGCTTTCATTATGACGTTGTGTTCCCTAGAGGAAGGGAAAACCTAGAGATATCGGACAATACAGTGAGTACCGTTAATTTCAAAACACTAGACTTGGGCTGCAACTAACAATTATTTTATTTTCAGTTTTACGACTGTAAAATGTCAAATAGTAAAAAAAAAAAAAAGGCTTATTACTGTTTTCTTAAGCCAGAAGTGACTTCTTTAAATTGCTTGTTTTGGCTGACCAACATTTAAAAATCGCCAAAATATTGTGTTCACTGTCAAATCCCCACAATTGAGCATCTGGAACATTGAAATTTTAGAAAAGTTCTTAAAATACCTTGAGTCTTAACTGTCATCATCTCCCCATCCAGGCTCTAGCCTTGTTTTCTTGCCTTTATTTATTCCTGTTACTAAAATAAGAATGAACACCTACAAAATCTCTTTGCTTTATCTCGTATATTTCGGTCCTCTTGTGAATTCAACCAAAGCTGGGATGCGTTGAGCAGTGAAGAATGTTCATTGTTACTGGTGTCAGGTGATTGTTGTTGTAGTTTTAAGAGTCGTTCCTGGGTTTGCCAGGTTTATTCTTCATTTCCTTTACACGCAGCATTGTATGTGACACTTCTCCCTGGTGCTCCCTTTACTCTTCCGTGCATGTATGTTCCCTGACACCTGTGTGGACATCTGCAAAAAACGACTGCATGCTGGCAGATTCAAACACGCAAATGTGCATTTCAGGCTTCACTGACACACAAACACTCACCTACTGGACCTGTTATACTTAAGTAGACCAACGTAAAACAATGTCTTCTCAAGATAAGGCTGGAATTGAGAAATTTCAACTGTAATATTGTCGTTTTATATCAACTACATTGCTCTTTCGAAGTGTTTTAAGTGTTACTCTGTCTACAGACACGTTCCTCATTCATTGCATGTTAACCAACTTTAACAAATTGCCAGGACAAGTAGTGCTGCCATGCTCGCACAGATCACATGCTGTCATCACCAGCTGTTATTGGCTATCCTGTCTGTGGTAACAATCCTGTGGAGGATGTCTGGTTTCCGGAGAGGCCATAATATGTTTAAGTGGACCTGTTAGCTGGCCAAAGTACATCATTTTAATATAATACTCTGATTGTACTCTGATTGTTCGGAATATGATCTCATCTTTGTCCACTTCCCCTACAGTTTGTATTTGGCATGCAGGCAGAGAGTAGCAGATTAGCGTACAAGATGTTGCTAATCATAGAGTTAAATGCAAAAACTACTATTAGTAGTTAACTATGTGAACGCCAAAGAATAAAAACCTGTCAGGTAATTGAACTGAGACGATTTCTTGCTTTTTAAACAATGAAACGATGACTGCTCTTTAAATATTTCTGTTTCTTTCATAGCAGTTCATCTCCATCCATCCTTCTCACCCCATCATTTATCCCACTCTCCGTTTTCGCTGCCTCAGCATTGGCTTTCAGTCAATACTGTTTATTCATGGGAGGAAGTCCATACACCATCCATCTGAAATACGTTCATCCATAGATTGATTGACCCTCATTAGGTTCAGTTGTAGCGCTACGGTTAACAAGCCAAGCCCACACTTTCAGTTGAGACTAAATGAATTGTTTTTTTCCACCAGAGGATTTAGTCTTTGATCCAGTTTGATAGAACAAAGAACTGCCAAATCAATACATCCATTACAAATTGAGTGGTGCATGACCTTATTCTACTTGGAAAAGTGACATAAAACATTAGATGATATAAAGAATAAAGCTCAAACATATAAGTAAGACTAGAACCCTAACAATGTAGTTGTAAGTTGTATTTTGTTTTTTAAGTAATCATTTTAGTAGCCTTTGATTGTGTTACCATGGACACAAAGATTGTGTTATTTAATCAGGGTTTAACAATGAATCACTTTTATGTCAACATCACCATTTGATTTTCAAATGAAGATCTACAGTTTAATTATAATTTAAACCATTAATGTCTTGGCAAGCTGTGAAAAGTTACATACCGACCATCAATATTGTGGCCGTAAAAACAGCCACTTATTATTATTATTATTATTATTATTATTATAATAGCTAATTAATGTTTACTCTGTGAGCTCTATGAAACAGCCCTCTGTATCATTTTGTTTTTCGTCGGGGCAAAATACAACAAAAAGTAATCTGTGTCATTTTGCCGTTCTATAAGATTAAGAGTGAGTGTAGTTGATGGCATCGTGTCATTTTCTAAAAGGTTAGCAGTTTGTGAACAGTAACCTCCCAGATAAATATTGTTGTTTTGAAGCTCATACCTTCAAAAGCACTGAATCGGTACGTCTGGCATTCAGGCCTGTGAAGCTAACGTTAGCGTAGACAAACACTTTGACAAAGTAGCTCGCACATTGCCCATAAAGAACATCAAAAAGCACTCAAAAATATGTTTACTGACAGGCTGGACACAGTGCCCGTGTGAGCAGTGCGTGGCAGCTGCCTCGCTGAGCTGCTGCAGTGTCCACACAGAGACATTCTGCTGCTGCTGCTGCTGCTGCTGCTGCTGCTGCCAGCCCTATCGTCACACTGAGTTTGTCTTTGATAAAAACAACACAATAAAAGCTTTGCTGTTTGTTAGCACTGAAACTGAAAAAAAAGGTGTTAAAGCAAATCATGTCTGTTACATATTCTACAAATATATCCATTAAACATGTAGTGAAAGGGGTGCATGTCGCTGTTATAATGTTGATATTATGAACAGATCCTATTCTTGTGGGAACCGTGTCTGGCTAGTGGGGAAAAATAGGTGAGACCTCCACTTCCCGGTGAAGTGTTGCTGCAGCCGCTCTTCTGCTCTGACTTACTAACATGGGCGCTGAAATAAAAGGCAAGACGTTCCTCGATGCACGCGCTCTGCCGACATGGGCGGTGTTCCCAGAGCTTTAGGCAGAATAAAATGCATGTGTCCACACGCAGATGAGGTCAACTCAAATTACAAATTTAATAAGAAGGAAATTGCTTTGCCTTATAATGTCATCTGAGGTCCTTAAACAATGTCCGTCCGTGTGATGAAATCAAGCACCGAACAAAAGACAAAGCATTCAAGTGCACTCAAACATAATCCAATGTTTGTACAAGTAATGTGCACGTGTTTAACTCATGACGATAAGTTAAAAATAAATCCAATAATCAAAACATCAGGTGTGTTGAAAGTTTACAATTCACAGAAACCTGCATTAGTAGACAGATTAAAGCCTTTTTAAGCAGACACACTGGAGTGTAAAAGCTCTATACAGTGTCCTTTTACATTTCTTACCTTTTGTCTTGGCTTTGTTGCCTTTGAAAGCAGCACACACCTCTGTGGCTGTTACAAATGCCAATGAGTCACTGACAGTGGCTCAGTCCTGGAGGTGAGTGTTCAGTGGTAGCTTGTTTTATTGTGTACAGTTGGAAACACAGAAACATGAACAGAACTACTCGACGAAGCGGCCAAGATGATGCTATCGACTGCTGTCATGACAACAAACTTAAACACCCATAATGCATTTATCTGTTGTGAGGACCTCCCGATCACTTCGCACAACATTAAAGCTAATTCAGATGATTTTTTTCTTATCTTTCTGTTTATGTGAAGTCATTTGGTCTTAGTCCTCAAAATACAACACACACACACACACACACACACACACACAGTTTCATATATCAGTAAGCTCAGAAGGGGAGAGCTCTTAACACCAAAGGGCTTTTTTGCCCCTCACAAATCTGTGTCAGTGATAGTGAGATCACAGGGCGAGCGCTGAAATGGCCAAAGGCTGTAATAGGATCTAGTTTGGAGCTCGGCTGGCTCGACAGGCTTTTGTTGGAACTTGTGAAGTCATATGAGGTCATTTGTTGGCTTGCAGTTTTGGTTTTATGTATGGTAGAGTTATGCCAAGACCCCCCCAAAGAGCTGCAGGCTAGTATGCACAATTTCATAATGACTTCTCTCCATTCTGTGACACAAGATCAGCCCCACGAGAAAAGCATGAGCTCCAGTCTAGTGGGTGCTGTTGCTAATTTAGACACGAAACACTGCTTGGAGTTTTTGTTTATGTGCAAACGTTGAAATCTCCCCTGAGGACTCATTGACAGCCTTTAAAGGCTGGGACTCCCATTATGATATCTTTGACAATTACGTTCTCATATAAACAGTCTTTTACCTTCATTTCTTTGATCTTTTCATGCAGTATAGAATAGCAAAGCAAACAGGTTTTTTTGTTTGGTGCATCAACACAAAGAAACAAGATATAATTTGTGTTCTTAAAGGATTTTGTAGGCTTAGCAGCACCGCTCTACTCGTTGTCTACCTGTTGTTCAGTGTGTTGAAGTCATTGTTAAAGACTAAAGAAATCTGTGCATGTGGATGAAAATGGCATCATTTGCTTTTTATATTCAGATCGTTGATGACGTGTTGCTAATTTATTACTACATTAGATATATTTTTAGAAAGTCATCTACAGTGCTAAATTAAGCCCAGTTCTTCTATCCATCAGCATGAGAGTGTCGTGTCAGTGTCTTTCTCAATATTAAGTTAGCACCTCATTGTTTCCCATTCACATATATTTCTTTGTTGGGTCGATAAAAAAACCCAGAACTTGTGTTCAAGTCACATTTTAAGTCCTGAACCGCTGACCTACTGCAGCAAGAATGTATGATAGACAGCAGAAACTACAAAGAGCTTAATCAAATCGCTTATAAATGCAACCATCATTACTCAAATATTCCGTTTCTTTCCCCTCCCTGCAGGCTTGACGATGGGCTGCGTCAGGAGTAAAGAGGACAAGGGCCCGGCGCTGAAGTACCGACCCGATAACTCAAATGCCACGCCAGTCAACTCCCACCTGGGCCACTACGGGCCTGACCCCACCCTGATGGGTCATTCACCAGCTATGAAGACACACAACAACAGCTACAACAGTCACGCCGCCGCCCTCACGCCCTTTGGTGGGGCGTCTTCGGTCATGACGCCCTTTGGCGGGGCCTCCACCTCCTTCACCTCAGTGGCCGTGAGCAGCCCCTTCCCCGGTATCATCACAGGTCAGTTTGTGGAGGATTTAAGTTTTAAGGGAGAACCATGGGACAAGGGAATCTGCATATTTATGGGGAAAAAAAAGTCCTTGAAAGTTTCTCAACATGAATGAAATCTTCTTTATTATTCAAATAAATTCATATTACTTTGGGTCCCCGAGCACTCTCAGAGAAGAAACAGAAATATAGAAGCCGTGCTGCGTTTTAATAAGGTATAAATTGACTTTTCTAATTAGCAAAACGTGATACAACCTAATACTTCTAAAGCTTTTTCTCTCCTTTTTTTCTAACTTTTCATTTTGTTGTCTTTACATGAATCAGTGCACAACTTCAGAATAAACTCATTCGTTATGCGCAGGGCGTTATGAGTAGCAGATGTTATGCAAATTAGACATTTGAAATGAGTCAGCCAAAACTTCAAGGCCAAAGACAAGCCCAAAATAGGTCTGTAATATGGGAAGCACTGCAGCAGGCATGGCATCTCCAGAGCCAAAGAAAACAATCACATACACTGAATTCAATAGATTTATTCATGCACAATAAAGTTTCTATTTTCAACAAGAGTTTTTTTGACATTGATTAGGGATTTGTTGGTAACGAAATGACTCTTGACATGAAAAATAATCACGCAGTTTTGCACACACACACACACACACACACACACATCCCTTAGTCCCTGTCTCGCTCTCTCAAGGAGGATAATCTGGCCTGAGGGGCTGCTGCAGATCTAATCCTGCCCGTTCAATTTCCTCCTCAAGATAAACATATCAGAGTCCTGTTGTCTCTCTGCACTCTGTCACTTCACACCACAGGCAAATCAACTCTTTTTGTTACATAGGAGAGATTAAGTGAGTCAGTTTGATTCGAGGTGCTACAACTGAGTTTGAGAACTGTGAAAGGGAATACTCTTTCCCATGTTTCCCTTAAAATAAATCAACATTAATAGAGCCGGTTGTACTTTTAGTCAAGGCTCCGGGTTGGCAGCAAGTGGTATATTTCAAAAGAGAAGGGATATTTTAAGGAGGAAAAAAAAAGTATTCTGTGATACAGTCTTGAATTGTATTATTGAATTGTTTATCAGTTTATCCATTAAGATAAGACTAGACCATGACTCAAGTATGAGATAAAGTAATAAAGTATAAAGTAACAAAGTAGGTTAATCAAAAATGATTTTGTTGTCGTTATTTGAAGGTCAAAGGTTGTTGAATTGAATTTGTTGTACAACATTTCGAGATAAAAAAACAAACAACTTGATTAACGCCGGGTTTCTCTTGCTTTCAGGTGGTGTAACATTTTTCGTAGCGCTGTACGACTACGAAGCGAGGACGTCAGATGACCTGTCATTCAAAAAAGGGGATCGTTTCCAGATCATCAACAACACGTTAGTGCATTTGCTTTTTACCCCGACAAACTCCTGCTGCGTGTGTGTGTGTGTGTGTGTGTGTGTGTGTGCTTAATCCCTCATTGTATTCAGGTCTGATACTAAGGCTGAAATCTGTCTGGGTTAATGGGGTCCTCTAATGGGCCATCTGTTCAGTCCCCATCGCTTTTGAGATCATTCCTCCAGTTTAACGTTTTACATTTGGGTTACATTGTAAAACATACTGCTCCTCCTTTATTTAGTGAAATACAAGCAATGCACATAATAAATAGATGAACCTATTACTAACACTTACATAACCTCTATTCACCAAGACACCAACAATGCCAAAAATATGCCTGAAGGTCAAACTCATTACGATATTATTGAATCAAAACAGTTTCTAGTTTTCTTTCTTTTAAGAGAATAATGTTGAGAACAATTTATTCTGAATAAATAAATAAATAAATAAATAAATAAATAAATCAATTTCAGTTATTCCAAGAATCAAATACCTGGATTTGCTTTAATACTTCACAGTACTACCCGTTCCTCTCTACCTACTGCAGCAGCACAGACTGTTTCCCAGGTGTGCACAGGTGTGAAAATGGGCAGAGCTCCAAGTGCTCTGCAAATCCATCACACACGTCCTCAGCCTCAGTCCATGAACACGTTGCGTTCGCAGTGATGAAAATGCCATCTGCGTTCAGAGGAGAGGTGGGAGGAGGACAGATTTGCTCAGTTTAGTAAAAATGCCAGTAGACAGATTTTTCCTCCATCCCAGTTTTAATTTAAATTTAAACATTCACAGCTGTGCATATATATATGTGCCAGTGCATATAGGTTATATGTGTGTGTGTGTGTGTGTGTGTGTGTGTGTGTGTGTGTGTCAACAATTATGTGTATCTATGAGTATGTGTTACCTATGAATTGTTGTATGTTTAAATGTTTTTAATGTAGAGTCTTGGAAGTGCCAGGGAGCTAAAAGAGATCTGAATATATCAAATCTAAATCCGCTGTTAAACATTCCATTGGTACCTATGGATGCAGTGTTTCATTAAAGTCTTCTATACAGCTTTGAAACTTTTGAATATTTTTGAATACATCTTGCATACACCAGGAGATTTAATTTGATATTTAATAGCATATCAATCTTCTGCAGAACTTTTATTTTTGATACTTTGTGAACATTTTGCAGATGATACTTTTGTGCTTTATACTTAAATAGAATGCAGCACTTATACTTGTAATAGTGCTTTTAAATTGTGATACTGGTACTTTAACTTGAGTAAAGGCTCTAAATAATTCTTCCACCACTAACTGACACAGCTTAAAAACTGCTCCGCCCCCCATATGATGACTAGGATAACTGACGTGATTGAATGATGCGCAATACGACCTTGTTCCTTTTCTATACTTTTATACCTGCACTCTTCTTTTCTGAGTAGGTGTATTTTTCATTCATGGTTTTATGCCTGCATTGTGTGTGTGTGTGTTTGTTTGATTTTTATTTCTTATTTACTTCTGTCTTCAGGGAAGGCGACTGGTGGGAGGCTCGCTCCATCAACACCGGACAGAAAGGTTACATCCCCAGTAACTATGTGGCTCCAGCTGACTCCATACAGGCCGAAGAGTAAGAGCTCATCACCGTTTCTAACACTGTCTCTATCTCCGACATCCTCCATCGTTTCAGTTTTATGTTCTCCCTATCATTCCTTTCGGGTTTCTCAGCCTGCTCAGTTAGTTCTCCTCTGATTAAAACGACATGACGCGACTGGGCGGTCACACATGGCAGAGAACTGAAACAATGGAGTCCTGTATTGTCACCGAGAGCTGGTGGCATTCCTGTTGCTGCTCATCCAGTGTGACAGAAACGTTAAAGCAGTTTTGGCCTGGTTTCTCATTGGCTGACGGCCATTTTACTCATACTAGATGTTTAAGCAACTCATTAAATAAGAAAGAAACCCGGGTAAACCACCCAGTTTGCCTTTAGTCTCAAAAAGTGTCTACAAGTGATTGACTGTGTTGAGGACTTTTGGGCCCTTCTCAATTTAGTCTTGAAGAAAATATGCCTGTGAGGTAAAACAATTCAACATGACTGAACTTGTAATGATGTCCTGAAATAGACTGCTGTGCTCTTTAAAAGGGAGAAGAACAAAAGCTAGATTTTAAGATTGTTTACAGCCGTGAGCTCATGTTTTACTTATTTATTTATAGCAATAGGAAGGAACCCTTTTTTTTAAGGTGCTCTAATATGTAATGGAACAAGCTAAAGATGTCATGCTTGGAGGTAAGTTAATAATAAGCTATAATTATAGTGGTGTGGTCGAAATTACTTTGACTAAAAGGAGATTTTAAGCTATAAAGTTTGTCTAACTTTGAAGATAACAAGATTTCAATTCCAGATGTTTAATCAAATATGTTTTATTTTCCTGTTCATCAGTTTTTTAACTTTACATTGTAGACACGATTTATAAGTTATAAAGCCAGAGAATCACCAGCACCACGTTTTTATTGCAAGAATGAGAAAATCCTACTTGTGGTGAAAGATATCATACTGAGAGCTCCTCTTATGATCTGACTGTCTGACGTTCTCTCTTTTGGCAGATGGTACTTTGGTAAAATGGGCCGCAAAGATGCTGAGCGTCTTTTATTGCTTCCAGGGAACCAGCGGGGCACTTTCTTGGCACGAGAGAGTGAGACAACCAAAGGTATGAGGATTTAATAGCAAGTCTGTAATAATAATGCTGCTGTTATAATATATAAAGCGAAACAAAACATACATTTTTAATGTAGGTTGTTTAAATGTGTTATGTAAAAAGTCTGAGATGCTTGGCAGATTTGAGAGTTTCTGTTACTGGGAAGCACAATTAAATTAAATTTCTGTGCATTTTAAAGGTGCTTACTCTCTGTCTATCCGGGACTGGGACGAGGTGAAGGGAGACAACGTCAAACACTACAAAATCCGTAAGCTGGACAACGGTGGTTATTACATCACCACTCGGGCCCAGTTTGAGAATCTACAGAAGCTGGTGAAACACTACACAGGTATGCAGCCTGCAGACAAATTGTTGTTTACAACTGGACAGCTGTTTTTTTTTTTTTTTATCTTTTAGACTCATGTTTGAGTCATCTGGACAAATAATGTTTATTATAGTCATTTATACAGTGCTTTTGCAATACAAGTGCTCTCTACTGTTGTTTTATTTGATATTTTAGCCAATGAACTCAGTGCTTGCAGTAGAAAATGCATTATTCAGCTGCCGATCTGCTGCTGTGTTATGTATTGAATATGTTTTCCAGAGCTTTTTTCTTTTTTCTTTTTTCTGTCGTGATCCTCAAGCGGTGCTTTCACTGACACAGTCACGGATCAGTAATCATGACAAAGTCCCAAAAAAGCGAAACCAAGTGTGACTTAAGCCAAAAAGAGCCGTGAATATAAAAATGTCCCATAAAAATACAGTCTTAAGCCTGCTGTAATCTGCACAGTATTGATAAGCAGGCAGCTGTTCCTAAAAATCCCCAGCGATCTGTCAAAAGAAAGCGTCTGAATGATGTAAACACAGGCAGGACGAACTGCTTATGGAAAACTTTGCAAGAATACAAATTCTTTAACACTTGATTTTAGGCCTTATGTTGTTTACCTGTTCGCTTCCAGTTCATGTAATTCACTAAATGCAGTTCCTTTTTATAATTGATGACTGGTAAATTCAAAGCTCTGCACTACCTTATATTCCTATACGTGTAGCTTTGAAACGCCAGACAGAAGTCAATAAGGAATAGGAATTCATTATTGAAAAGGTTTGTAACATCTTAGCTATTCATTGGCTTGAATGTAGCAGGCTGGTTCTTCACTGTTTCTCCCTTTTCCGTGTGCAGAATTCAAATGGGAAATTTCACATGATGGTTAGTGCTGCTGCTGTCAGGGCTCTTGCTGTGTCTGAAAAGACTTCTGTAGCACAAACAGCTCCTTGATCTCTTTGCTTTCTTACTGAAATTTAAATTAAATTGAGTTCAGCACAGTTCACGTTGTTATGGTGAAAGTACCTGAATATTTTATTATGAAAAATAAAACCCTATTCTGTGAGGAGTGACTGTGGTAATGTTGGATCAACATTTCTGTGTGTTTGCTTTGTTGTGGTTTGATTGTAGTCTGCTGCCTGCGTCATGTAGCAAACATGATATTTTATTTATCACATATTTACAGTCCACAGCATGGCTCTGCTAACTCCTTGGATTGTGTTTGTACTTAACACTACTCAGTGATTGTGTTTTTGTTGAACAGACTGGTGGCGTGAATTAGCAGGATGATCACTTACTCTGTCTTCTGTTTCTCCTCCCCTTGTGTGTCCAGAGCATGCAGATGGTCTGTGCCACAGGCTGACATCTGTGTGTCCCACAGTGAAGCCTCAGACTCAGGGACTAGCTAAGGATGCCTGGGAAATCCCGAGGGAGTCCCTCCGACTGGAGGTGAAACTGGGCCAAGGCTGCTTTGGAGAAGTCTGGATGGGTAAGACACCATTATTGCTGTACTCGAGCACAAGCTGTATGTTTCTGGAACACTCATACATGCACATCTGCCATCCATATTGTCTTGTAAAGTGGTTTTGTAGAACAGACTTTGGGACTATAGAACCACTTCTAACAAATATATCTACCATTATATCATTATATCACCGCTAACTTCATTGGCACAGCCTCTGGAAAGAGTATTACTACTACTACTCTCACTTTCAGTAGATAACTGCATAATATTACAATGCAGCTAACTGAAGAGATGGCACATTATGTACCATTCACTCCTGTATAATGGCTGAATGTAAACCAGGCTGCATCTTTGTCCATTTATACTCCAGCAGAGCAGGTTTAGACCAAATTGGATGAGAGTCGTAATATGATCTATATATTTTGGGCAGTTATTTTTGGACAATTATTTTCATCAGCGATTTATCTGCAGATTTTCTTTCTTGATTGATCGACTAACTAACTATAGTCCAGAAAATAGCCAAAAATATCCCTTACAATTTCCAAAGGTTGATGTAATCATGTTGCTATTTTCTCTGGACAACAATCCAAAACCCAAAGATATTCTGACCTCATACAGAAAGCAGCAAATATTCACACTGGAGAAGCAGGAACCAATTCATCTTTGGCATTATTTCTTTAAAAAAATTATAATCCAGTTAGTTGTGGATTAATTTTCGGTTGATTGATGAATTGATTCATTGACTCATCATTTCACCTGGTGAAAACGCTCATTGGGGCTGTTTCATTGAAATCAGATGATTTTGCTGATACACACCATAATGTGAACAGACTCAGGGCTTTCTGTCTGAGTTATTTTATTTAGGCCACAGAAACAGAAAACAGAGTAAAATCCAGCATGACGAGGATGCAGGTTGAATTTACGTATTAATGTGAAATCTGTCAGTACATTGAAAGCCAGATGTTGCTGAAATTTGTGCTCAGTAGAATTAGATAGCAGCTGTGGGAGGTTGACTAGTTTCAGGATCTGGGATTAGTCCATGTACTTACGTCCACCACACACAAATGCATAAAAACATTATTGATGGTGACGCTGATCATGAAGTAAAGAATATAAACCACTCCATGGACACATCCGTATAGAGCCATTAGTATGTACATATAGAAACAACACATCCTCCATACATTATTTATAACTAATGTAAATGTAATGTAAAACAACCCAGAGGCAGTAAATGCATATAAACTGAGGTAGTTTAAAAAATGATTCATATTAGCATAAAGCTGACTGGGACTGACCTCAGTAAAGGGCTCATCTTGCTGCCACACTGGCCCACATACTGATGTAAATGCTGATTACTGATTGCTGTTGGTTTACACACACACACACACAAAAACACACACAGCTCCGTAATCAGAGGTCACTTCCTACGCTTTAGTTCTCGGGCCTGCATGTGAGACGGGGACCTTTCAGTGAACACGACTCTCTTCTTTCATCACTCAGTCTTTCATTAAGTCTGGCCTGCAGCAAGCCTCGACCTGCAAACCTCCGCTGTGCAATCCCAGGAATCCCTCTCTGTCCCTCCTTGATGTTTTTTTTCTGCTCAGCTTCTCACTGAGAATCCCTTCCGTGCTTGTCCAATATTTAGTTTTGTAAATATCACATTGTGCCTACATTGCTCTCCTGTGTTCTCGCCACCTCACAGTATAATTATTTGATATTATCATTGCCCTACTTTGTCCTTCAGCTTGTGTGTAGTTTGTTCGGAGTGATTCATTCATGAAGGTCAGCCTTATGACGGAAGCAGTGGAGCTCATTGTATGTAAGCAGGGCGTGAGTAAGTGGCTCTCAACCAGGAAGTGGCTGATTATTTAAGCTGTCATGTTCTTTCTCTCTCGAGCTGCTCTTTACACATGGGAACACTGCCAGAGATCACTGACATGGCGGTTGATTTTAGGATCGGACTTTCGGTCACTTAAAAGGGGTCATAAAGTATTTAATGTACCTTCAGTGTGTTTGTATCACAGTATGTGTGATAAATTAGAAAAACATCTAAAATGAATTATTCCATCAATAATGCCTTTCAAGCTGCGCCAGTGCAGCATTGGTTTGAGGGGTTATTATTTCAAACATGAGTGATCATTTTGTTTCTGTTGTTTTTCTTCAGGCACATGGAACGGCACTACTAAGGTGGCTATTAAGACCCTGAAGCCGGGTACCATGTCCCCAGAGGCCTTCCTGCAGGAGGCTCAGATAATGAAGAAACTTCGACATGACAAACTGGTGCCTCTCTATGCTGTGGTGTCTGAGGAGCCCATCTACATTGTAACAGAATTTATGGGCAAAGGTAAGGAAGGGTGGACACCCCCGCTTCTTTAATTCACCTGCAAATTGTACCTAAATGCCCATGTTCAGGGCTGCCCTGGGCTGAAGTGACTAACTAGTACACAGCTTAATTGGCCCATCCTAATTCCCGCCCCTTTTTTTCTGTGCTCCAATAATATTTGAGCAAACCTCGGTCAACTTTCTCCTTTCCTGTGCTTGTATCTGCTGTGTGCTAGTCTTATCTATGTTGACAAATGTTGACAAATGTTGAAGCTATATTTGCTACAGAGCCAAACACAAGCTAACTAGCTAACTAATCTGCATCAATTGTTAGCTAGCTTTATATCTGAAAGCTAATCTTAACAAATCGGCAGCTAACTAGCTAGCTAGTGTTTTGCTAATATTAGCATTGGAGTGTTTATACATGTCATTTTTATTTTTTAACCATCTTTTTGGTTGTCTTTTCAACATATAGATGAGCACATAGTGTGTATATATAAGTATAGGAAAGGAGGAAGTCGACTGAAGTTCTGACTGAGGCTTGCTCAACTGTTATTGGAGCACAGAGCAAAAGGGACGGATCAATTCACCGCAGCTCGATACATAAGATGCCGTTTATTAGTGCTAGTTTGTTTATTTATATCCTCAGCAGTTCTGCAGCCTTTGGAAATTCTTCAGATTTAATTTGAAGTACATTTCAGCCTCACACAGTTTTTTTTTTTTTTTTACATACAGTTGTTACGTCACTACACGAGCAGCTTTAATTTAGGTGAGGTAAAGTGAAGGATTGCCAGGTAATAAATCTGAAACTTCCTGCAAAAGATTGACTTGTTGAAAATGCAGCAGCTTTAAATAAACCCACCCAATGGTGTCACAGTCCTCTTAAATCACCTGTGGTAAAATCTGTACATAATCACAGGAAAAGTCTGTAAATGTAGCAATAATCTGTAACTTCCAATAATGTTAATTAGTATGACCGTTGAACTGCATTGAAACTCTTACTAAAAGTAGAATAAAACAATCTGTGTGCTCAGACATAAAACAGAACTAAACTTAATGAAGAAAACCTCTCATGATATTTGCAGTCATGTTGTCTTTAGGTGGTTTTGGTTATTTTAGAGTTTTCTGATGCTCAACACTCAAGCGATGCTGTATTTTATTTTTGTATTTTGTTTATACGCTGCCCAGACAGACTTATTGATTCTTGCTTGACCATAGTCTTCTAAACTCTTGACAGGTAGTTTACTGGACTTCCTGAAGGAGGGAGATGGTAAATATCTGAAGCTGCCCCAGCTGGTGGACATGGCTGCACAGGTAGGATCAAAACACAGCATCCGAATACTTCTGCAGACACAGAAACTCCCTATGTCTCCTACCTGCCCCGCTGCTGTTTGAACTGTTGTGTGCAGGAAGGATTTTCACGCATCAGCAATAAAACAAAGAGAGCTGCATGTGGGAAGGTTTCCAGCCGCGTGTGTAGGAGTGTATGAGTCAAATATTCAGTCCTTGCGAATAAGGGTTTCGGTTTGTCCTCCATCTGGCTGTCATAATTATTTAATACCCTACCTGACATCTACCCTCCCCTCTTCTTCCTCCCAGCTGTACGTGTCTCCCCTCGTTCTCCGCCACTTATCTGCCTGTAGCACTAAGCGCTGCTCATCAGAGGCCACTTGAGCCCGTTGGTTCAGTCACCTACTGTGAACTGCTCTTAATTCGCCTCTCCGCGCTCCCAGGCTCCCTCTTCTCCTCACTCAGCAGTGGGAAAGTGTTTGAGAGGAGTTGACAGCCAGAGTGACGAGATGTTGGATGCTTGTGTTCAAGATTTGTTTAATTGACCCTTCCTAAAGGCCGCCCCCTTCAGAACCTAGGTCAACTTTCTCGTTTTTTTTTTTGTTTGTTTTTTTGCATCATTGCACGCCTTCCCATCGGAGTCAATTACTAGATCAGTGAAGTGTATATTAAAATAACAACTCACTGCATCCCCTCTTAATTAGTGTTATTCACAAGTAATATTGATCTTACTTTGGTTGCATCATGATACCATTTTCTCTTTGTTGACCCCTCTCCCCCTCTTCCCCTCCCTGTTCTGTCCAATCCCTTTCTTAGATCGCAGACGGCATGGCCTTCATTGAGAGGATGAACTACATCCACAGGGACCTGAGAGCTGCCAACATCCTGGTGGCGGATAACTTGGTGTGTAAGATCGCTGACTTTGGCCTGGCTCGGCTCATCGAGGACAACGAGTACACCGCCAGACAAGGTGCGTGTTAAGAACTGGAGGCAGCTGGTGCTCAGACACACGCAGGTTTAAATGTCTGCGTTTGTGAGGATTGATTATCCTTTAATGCACACCCTGAACCTTCAGCTCAGTTCATCAATTCATCTCTTACCATGACTACAGCCTAACACTGGTTCTAGAGCTGTAACAAGTAGTCAGTTGATTGATTAGTCCTTTGTTTTTCTATTATTCTTGCTCTCGGTTGTTTTTTCTTCATCTTACGTGAAAGTAAACCAAATATGTTTGAGTTGTGGACTGTTGGTAAGGAAGAAAAAGCAATGTCAGTCTAGGGAAATTGTGATTTTTCTATTTAGACATTTTATAGACCAGTAGTCAGAAGATGAATCAATAATGATAATGATCTATTATTTGCTGCCCTGCTACAAGGTTTTATCCTCTTTTTAAGAGCACATGCTGACACGTTTCATCACACATTCTGTCTATTGATGAATCAATTAGTCAGTTAACAGGCAATTAATCGCAATCATGTCAAACATTCTCTCTGATTTCAGAAGTTAATGGTTAGTGGCAACCCTAGTCATACTGATCGTTTCTAAGGGTTATTCCTCCTGCTTGACTCTTACTTTCATTTTTCCAGGTGCTAAATTCCCCATCAAGTGGACGGCCCCTGAAGCTGCTCTGTACGGCCGCTTCACCATCAAATCAGACGTCTGGTCGTTTGGTATACTACTGACTGAACTGGTGACTAAGGGGAGAGTACCATACCCAGGTAGGGACAAGAGCTACACAGATATGTGCTTATATGTGATTGTCAGTTTGTATGGGAGGCTGCCTTTTCTGAGTTTGTCTGAATTCCCAATTATCTTAAATATGAACATGAATGGAGTGCTTTAAGTTTCCTTCATGGAAAACTGGAATAATTAATTTATTTTTGCCTCATGATAATTCCACAAGGTTCCTACGCAGTATGGAAAAGTATGGAATTAGATTTTAATAATTTCCAGTTGTATAATTATGGAAAAAAGAAAAGCAAGTATGGAAAAGTACTTGTGTTTCCAGACTTTTGACCCTATTCTGTTTTCTGAAATATAAAATTCAGAATTTCTAAAAATGAGTTTAAAAAGAAGATAGACGTTTGGAACAAGATGCCCTTTTTTATAATGATTTGATCGCACAGCAGTTTTTTCAGGCAGCTGTGCTGCCAAATGTTTACCACTGTGTGAGAGAGCGCGGGCCAGAGTGACTTGATGTCGCCAAAAGCAAGGCAAGGAGTTTGGCGTGTGACTGAACGCGCACTCCTACGCAGAGCTGCCTCTACGCCTCAACATCACAGCCTAGAAAACAGCTCTGCTGCAAGTGTATTATAACAGAACCAAATGTGGACATCTGCGATCACATTAGTTTGATAGAAAATGTGTCATTATCTTTGAATTACGTATATACATAGCACCAAAAATAATCAAATATTAAGTTTGTCCGAACCTTTATGAGTTATACAGTAAAAGGTAAACAACTATCTTGTCTGTGTAAGAAAACCTTTATGAGTGTGTTCATTGTGGTTTCCATGGACAGTGGATATTAACAATGCTGCATTAACGGTTGGATCTTAAAACCCTTTACTCGCATAATAAACATCATTTGTGCGCCGTCATCACAGAAGTCTGAAGAGAGTGGAAAACGTGTAGGAACCCTGTTTCCAACATGCTGTTCTGATTGTCATCTGTAATAGTATTGTGTCTCACATGCAGATGAGAATAGAAGTGCATACAGTAGCTGATGTGAGTCAGCACAGATGTCTAAAGACTTATCAGTGCATGGGAAAGAACCCCTTACTCTCTCATACACATCTCCCTCTTCCTGCCACCTAATTTCTGACCCCTGCTGTCTGGGAGCAGTACTGCATTGTGTCTGGCGACTGGCACTGATTACAGAGCATGCCATATGGCAGATTTAACCACCATCTCTTGCAGAGGGCCATCTGGGTCCTGTGGCCTTCTGGTTTCAGTGCAAACTGTTCGGTCTAATTAATTCACCTCAGAGCTGCAAATTCTGGGGGCTGGACCTTCTCTTTTCCCTTCATCCGAATTGTAGTCTGACTCACCAGACATTTGTGGCTCTTGTCCTGCTGTGCTGCTGTCTTTTTGGGGAGCTCTATTTCTATCTGCTTGCTTGATAGCAGTATGAGGCAGGTATACCGGGACCACGTATCGAGGGCCTGCATGGGAACACATCATCACTTTTTCTATTTTAGTTTGCACATATATATTTAGATACATAGATGTATGACAGGCATGTTATTAGAGGTGAGATTTCCAGACGCAAGACATAAATCACACTAACACCCCAGCATCCGACATACCACCGCCACCATATCCTGGTCTCAGCAGTTGCTCCGGGCCCTTCCTCTCTCCCAGTGTGAGATAACCTGATCCCCCACTCTCCCACAGAGTGATGGTGGGGGGATGCGGCTGGGACCATGCCACTGACTCTGTGTCATAACCTCTTTTAGCTGCAGTCGAGCTCCCCATGGAGCCGTTTCTGCGCTGTGTCACAGGGTTCAAGTAGAATCCACGACTCTGGTGCTCTAGTAGGGCAGGAAGTGGCCAGAAGATGTTTGTTTTTTTGTTTGAAATGTTGATTGAGTAGTAAACCTGGTGATCTCTCCATTTAGAGGTATGCAAAATATTACTTATGTTAGTCTGAATTTGTATGTTTTTAATGTTTGTTCTTTTTGTCTGTGTTGTTTAACCTGGAATTGACACAGGATAGATAACCTTTCTACCTAGTTTGTTGAGTTTTTATATGAAAGCTTTTTTAATCTTTTATCTTTTATCACAGTGCTTTGCGTGGGCATTTTTATCCTACTGTCAGCTGCACGATGCCAACATTTATTCTGCTTCAGGATGCGATGCTAATGAAAGCAAATGAACACATACAAATACACTTAAAATCCTAACACATAAATTACCTATATATATCTTGTTGGCAATTTTGACTGGGGCTAAACTC